CCAAAACGTCACAACGACGTAGAAAAAATAACGGGTATATTAATTATCTTAAGTCTACATGAAATCTATACCTTACACAGACTAATGAAATACTATCTGTAAAATTATCTATGTAAACAAACCTCATCACTTGAGAAGGTGGGTGATTCCGACGTCGTGGAAGACATTTTGTCCCGTACTGTTGAGGGGGAGAAGCGGGTGGGGGGGAGACGTTCATGTTGCTGCAGTCTGCAGTCTGACCGCTAGATGTCGCTGAAAATTACACACTGTAGCTTTAAGTGCAGGCTGGCTGTATTTTGGCAGCAAGTGTAACAGCTGCTTGATGGCGCAGGAAACCTGTGCATTTAGATGTAATTTCCACCGGTTTGCTACACCTTCATCACACTGACAAAAAATCACAAGTAAGATATAAGAAAAATACATTAATTCCAAAAGGAAAGGTCGTCTTTGAAATACTTTTATCTGACCATCTACATTTGCTTTAAAGAGGGGGCAAATGTTATATTTTATGTCACCCTGTACCACAGAGCTACAGCCACACACGGGGCGTCATTATGTTGCCTTTTTAATGACTGCTTTCTTTTTCCGTTGGAGGGAAGAGGCCATCCCATTCTTGTTTATACCCCCCCAACTTTAATCAAGGCGTGTTCCACAGCTGCGAGTGTGACTTAATAGTTAATTGTTAGTGGTTAGGGAACGAATTGGGATTCAGCCCATGCCACCAAACAGCAAAGTGACTTCCTGTAGGCCTCTATAGGCTCACTGACTGATTAGAGGATTGTAGGCACCTGTGGTGCTAATTAGTGGACACACCTGGATCTAACATCTTTGGTTACATTATTTTCAGTTTTTTCTACAGGAACCATTAATTTAGTCTAGGCCTGTTTTATGGGCTTTTTCTGTTTTGTTCTGTATTTATCATCTGTTCAAGCATTGTTAAAAAGCAATGTCTGACTTTCATTTGTTCAATTTCACAGAATTTGTATTTATTATTACTTTTTTCATATTCAGGTTATATCTGTGTCTTTTGAGGTTTTTCTTTCATTAAATAAGAAGTATCAACAATTTTGTCCCTGTTAATAATAAAATAAAATAAAAAGTTTTTGTGTCTTCCCAAGGTTGCCAATAGTTTAGACTTAATTCTTCAAGCCGCTGTTACACTTGCTGCCAAAATACAGCCAGCCTGCACTTAATGCAGACTCACCATTTCAGGCATGATTGTTCCACTGGCCCTACTGACTAATGGTTTTGGATGGCATTTAAACATACTAGTGCTCAACTGATGTTAATCCTCTGAGGACTAAGGTCTCCTGTTGCTTGGTCTGTTTGTAAATGTAACTTCTAAGCTCTGTGAGCATCTGGTTCAGTTACTTGGCCTATGTGGTATTTCATTTTCATTACAAATGATGAATTTTTCTTGAAAAATAAAAACAAACCAAAAACCAATCATCTGTCATGTGATTCCGTTTCCAACTAAGTGCATTAACTAAGTGGTTGTAGCCACTAGATAGCTAGTTTACTTTACTCAACAGATTAATAATCTACTGTTAATTTCAACTACTGAGGACCAAACCATTTCTTGCAATGTTAGGGGAGGAAGGGCGGATTAGTCAATATCTTCCTGCATTTTTAAGCTGTTTACTGCTAAAAAAAATCAGGGAGAACACATACACAGCAAAAAATCGTGTTGATTTAACTCTGGCAGAGTTGATTTTAACACTTTTTCGGGGTTTATATAGGTCCACACTCTTAAGAGTTTAATTGACACAATTAAAAAATAGTTAATTAGTTTGAAATAAGAAATACTTATTCTATTTGCAATTAATGTGTACACCATACAAGTTTCACTTTCTTGACTACCTGTGTGTAATCACCCACACCAAAGATTCATAGATGGTTAAAAGCTCATCCGTGGCAAGGCATGAAGAACTTTGAAGTACCTCGCGTCACTTGATGGCTTTGGAGATGTGGAATCCAGGTTTCTCCTTGGCCTATATTGTGTGATAAAATGTTTGAACAGAAGTAATGATAGAGAGATCCTGTACCATTCACTATGCTGTACTGTTTAGGGGGACAGAAAGCAGGTGCCTCCCCTCACTACTCTAGATAAGGATGAGGGGAAGGTCATTAGAAATAATGAGTTCACAAAACCTCCTTCATGCTATGGTTAAAATGTATGCCCTTATCGTTCTCCTGTCCTGTTTCTGGTGTGAATAGAAAACAGTTGTCTGAAATGTTTATCTGAGCAAATGTATGTCCTTTGATGAACTAAAGTGTTTCTCTTGGGAAGATTCAATGTTCATGTGTGTGTGTGCTGTGGATTCTTTTTAAATTTAGGGATGTGTTTCTGAATGCTTCAGAATCGCACTCAGCTGTATTCAGCTGGTTTGTGCCATTCTACTCTGCAGAGTAAAATAAAACGTTTACTTCCTTGCATATCAACTCTCAGTGCTAATTCTTACTCCACAGAGACAATGTCCCTAAACTGGCAGATCAAAATGTTTTATCCCTCCAGATAAAGATGGATGAGAGACTGTGATCCAATTAGTCCTCAGCCTCCCAGGAAGGCCCATATCAGGTTGCTCTCAAGAGCTCAGCTGACTACTAAACCTTGACCTCAGAAGGAGCAGTGAGTTTTCTGCCCCAACCATGGATGAAAACATCCTCCACAGGGATGCTGAAAGGTTCATATGGGGTTGCCCAACTGGTTAAAATTTGCTTGAGGACCCTTTTGGTTACCTGTGGGAGGTGTTGAGTTGTATAAAGTCAGGGGCCCTTTACTAGGGGCCAACTGATCTCTGTGCAACCAGAGCAGGAGTCTGGTCCGCAATGCCAATGAGAAGACCTGTTCCCAGAGCATGTTAGAGTCCAACAGGGCAGCCCAGAGTTATCAGTCTCGTGCATAATTTTTATTGACACAATTTCTACGCGGTTTGCAGGGTGGCTCGTAGCAGGGATGAAGGACCACTCTTCCAAGTCCTTAGCTTTTTTATATTCACACACCCTTGGCAAGGGTCATGACAGTATTCTCTATTTCATGATTATTAACTCTATATCTTCGTGGGGATTGTTCTTGGCAGATTATCCGGCTCTACTCTCCTTTACAGGTACCCTACTTACAATTAATGCTTGTATATAGAGGGTTGTTGTGCAGAGGTGTGCAAGTTTCTTTCTAGGCAGAACTCTGACTGATTCCTGCTCAAAGATATTTAATTTCATATATTTCACCTTAAATAAATGTCATCAATTAATTCCATAATTTCTCCCCTCTCTATATTGCTGCTCCTAAGCCAGAGGAGTAACATGTGAAATAAACAACTTTACTAAATATCATAAGTAAACCATAAGTAAAGTAAATCATTACTAAAGTTTAAGTATAATTTTTATTCAACCTCCAAAAAATAATGTCACATTGTGATTCAAAATTTAGACATTAGCTTTGTGGTAACAAATGTTACAAAAGTTAATTTCTATCCAAAATATTCAGCTATTACACAATATTATGATATCAAATAAAATAATACACATTATTTTACAATAATATGATCAATCCTTGATAGAATGAAAATACACATATTACCATATATTACCATATTACCATACTACTCTTGATATGACAATTACTTTTAGTCATCAGTTTCATTGTCTTGCACAAAAGTTCAGTTTTACTTTTAAAGTATTTTCTGGTGTGAAAATAACGGATTATACAAAAATAACACACAGTATTTGACAATAAACATGACATAGACACATACATAAAAAAACACCAGAGTCACCAATCAAATGTTCACCAATGTGTAACGGGGTATTCACTGTGATATGATCACAACACTGGAACAATGCTGTTGCACATAATTTTTTCCCTTACTCTGCCACCCTGTGTGAAAAGTGACAACATCATTATGAGACACTTGGGACATTTTTATGAAATGCATTTGGAAAATTTGAGTATCTACAATAAAACCCAAAATGCAATAATGACAATGAGTAATTCGAATGACATACTATACTTTTTTTTTTGAAGATATTCTGAACTTGCACTATTTCAATGTAAAAGCAGAGCCTCTCTCTCTCTCTCTCTCTCTGTTTATATATATATATATATATATATATATATATATATATATATATATATATATATATATATATATATATATATATATATCCACAAGACAGAAACAAGACCTAAAGGTACCTGTTTACTGAATTTGTAATAATTGCCACTGAGGAAATGCACATGCTATCTTGCTATACACAGGGTGTGTTGCATAAGGGTGGTTACTTTCCCATTTTAATAAAGAAAACCACTAATGGTATTTGAATATGAAATGTAACAAGTGCAGGTATAAACGACGAAGATTTGCATGTGGGCGAATACAGAGATCAATTAAGCAAGAAGCCCATTTAAGACAACGGCAATCCACTACTCTATAAACACAGCTCCACCACATTTACAGCACCAGGAGCAGTTTGGATTCAAAATGCATCTAAATACCAGATCAAACAGAGCATAAAGTATGAAAATAATGTATATCACACTCACCAGTGATGCAGACTATTTATAAACAAAATTCATCCTTTTGTCTTTGTGCGGGAAGTCTTAGTATCTCCATTCAGTATCAGCCATTGAAGCCAGGAAAGCTTTTAGCAAAAGCAAATCTAAATTGCAGATTGTCACTAGCTAAACTTGGCTGTAAACATTTTGCTCTAACTGACCAATCAGAGGACAGAAAATTGTGACAATGGTTAAAAATGGTTAGGCTGGGCCCTCTAGCTGGCCCAGTGGGGCAAATCTGAAATCTAATTGGTTGAAGAAACGTTCCTCACCAAAATTGTTAAGGAAGAATCAGCTAGCACTGCTTATTCTGAAGGCCCCGGGAAGATTTGATTGACAAGCAATGCACTAAGGCTGCAATCTGATTGGACAAAAAATATAGCAACCAAATAAATCCAATGGAAGCAGTGCAGCCAAGAGAAACGCTACAAAATAAAGAGAATGGATTGTTTTTGAGTTAATTAATACAGTTAGATATACATTTTGAATAATTGAATTTAGGATAGTGTTTCTGATTGATTTTAGGCAAGCAACGAAGGCCTTGAATGTCCTGACTGCCCACCACTGTTAATATGGATAAATAAATCAGTCATAGTATTGCAATAATTTAGCTTAATTAACTTATCTTGAACATTTTTACATCTTCAGTTAAAAAAAGCTTAAGATCCTCTTAGTGGCAATTTAAAAAGTTGTTTCACAGTTGCTACATCTTTTCCTATTTTTCTAATCCACTTTTCTGAGGTAACAGTTCAACAACAGCTTCTTGAACTAATGGCTCCTCAGATGATCTGTCTTTGAGCTTCTCTGTGCATTTTTCTGAAGATGAGATAAAATAATATGTATTAGTGCTGTAGTATTCAGGTGTTTATGTATAGATAAGAAATCAAGACTTACCTATTTTTAGAAAAGTATATATAAACCAAAGGAGAGGCACCAGAATCATCAGTTTGAGAAAGTTAAATATTTTGTAAACAATTTTCTGATCGTTGTTAGGTGTTGCTGTGGAAGAGAAAAGATGCTCATGAGCACAAATTGGGTTTCATCCATAATACATTGCATCCAAAACTATGAATCCTCCTTGCATTTTGTTTTAAATGCCAGGCAGTTAACAGTTAGTTCAGCACGTCTTTTAATGGCTTGCATATTGATAAATATAATTTGACCTTAATTTAATGCTTTTTCAAACAAAACAGGAAAATGTAATAATTGGGCCTAGCAGTAATAATAAAAAACAACAGCACAAGGCAAAATGTGTCCCTGCAGTGACCACAGCAGGGATACTTCAAGGAATTTATTCAGAGAATAAATTTATTCAGAGGATTCTAAATT